CGACCGGATTCGACCTGAGGTATACACGCGGCTTAACAAAAGGGTCGGCGGCAGGGGGCGCGAGCGTATATAACCTTCGGTTGCCAACCGAAGGCCTCCGGCAAGGGAACGTGCGCGTGGCCGGCGCCCGGATGCCCCCCCTGCCGCCGACCCTCGCCGCGAAAAACGGGGGGGCCACCGGGTCACTGATGCCCCTGTAATTTACAGTGTTTCGTGTGTGTGAGGTCTAAGAAACACTGTGTTTTACAGGGTTTTGGGCCCCTTGGCGGCCGAGAATTTCATCTTGGCGATGTCATAAAACGTAGGTTTTACCAAGGTTTTTGCTTTACGGGAAGAAAAAATCGGCCAAAAAATGTATCGCAAGATATTTTTCAACATAAATTGCCTCACATATCCCCAACATAGGCCCAAGATAGCCAACATATCCCCAACATATGCCCAACATAGCCTCCAAGATGGCTCAACATAGGGCCAACATAGGCCAACGTGGGGCCAACATACGCCAACGTAGGCCCAACGTAGGCCCAACCTAGGCCAACGCAGGCCAACGTAGGCCTAACATAGGCCAACATAGGCCCAACATAGGCTCGACGTGGTCCAAGATGCGCTCAACATAGACCACATGGGCCCAACTTGGCCCAACCTAGGGCGAAGATGCGCACCAGATAGCTTCGCTTTGCAGGCCAACCGACAGAGCCAGAGACAGAGAAGACAGAGACAGAGAGAGAGACACCGAGACAGAGACAGAGACCGACAGAGAGCGAGACGGAGAAAGAGACAACAGAGACAGGCGACCCAACATGGTTGTAAGATTTTCACATGTAGTCGACGCTGCTGGGGCACTAGCTTTCGAGCGGCGGGGGCGAGGAGCGGCGGGGGCGAGGAGCGAGACGGCGGACTAGTTTTCGGTTGCAACGGCTCTCCCGACTTTCGGCTTGTGCTCAGAGAAGCCAGGGCAGTCAGCCTCCTCCAGTTTGGAGGATGCTGCTGGGATGCCCCATGTCCCAGCCCCCGCGCAAACCTCTGTTCTGGCGCGCTTTGTTTGTAATTGTTTGTCTGTCTGTGGTTTACTGCGTCTTGATGCGAAATGTGTAGCACAGGCAACAAAAACAGCCTAGCAAACGACACCATCTATTTCCACACCAAAAAGGGACGCGCCGCAGCCAGCCAAAATGCCTAACGTTGCCTCCTGGAGCCCATAAAACTAGTTGCCTGGCACGTGCCAGAAGCTCACTCCGGCAATCTGGCCGTAGTGGCTGTAGTAGCAGCCCAGACCTGTCCTGCTACGCTGACAAAAAGGGCTGGAGGTGCTAGACCGCTTAGTAGCCCAGGTCATTGGCCAGTGCAAGTCCGCATAGTAGCACAGGTCCTTGGCCATGGCTTCTTGCTGCGCTGTCCCGGGCACTGCGGCTAGGCCAGGGTCGGCGGATATGATACGCAAGACCATATATAGGCCACGTGAGGCTACGGCCAAGACCCACTGAAGCAAGGTAATTTGCCACCCGTGCTGAACCCAAAGTTTCACACTCAATGCTTCCGTTCTACACCAAATTGTCTTTATTTCGTGCTCTCAAGAGTACTCAACCTGAGGCGAGCGTGATTTTGCACATGTTGTCTTCAGTCGATGGGCGCAATTAGTTAAAAAAAAATTGCACTACCGTAGACCCCAAACAGTTTGTGTTTTTCAATATCGGAACACTCTGCAAATAGAGCTTGCGACGTCCAGAGCTGGGAGACAAAGGATTGCAAGGCAGAGGCGGACACAGCAGCCCAGCGCTAGGAGACAAATGTAAAGGATTGCAAGGCAGAGGCGGACACAGCAGCCCAGAGCTGGGAGACGAATGTAAAGGATTGCAAGGCAGAAGCTGACACAGCACTCCAGAGCTGGGAGACAAATGTAGACACAGGGAGACAAATGCGCAGGATTGCAAGCGACACGCAGCCCAGAGCTGGGAGACAAATGTAAAGAATTGCAAGGCAGAGCAGCTGGGAGACAAATGTGAAGGGTTGCAAGACATGTAAAGGAAAGATGGAAGACCAAAAGAAACAGAAGGGAAACAAGACGGACACAGTGTCCAACAAGAAGGAGACAAGACCGGAGACAAAGCGAGACAGAAGGGAAGGCGGACACAATGACCAACAAGAAGGGAGACAAGAAGGGAGAAAAAAGGAAACTCAAGGGAGACAAGACGGACACAATGACCAACAAGAAGGGGGACAAGACCGGAGACAAAAGGGAGACAAGAAGGGAGACAAGGCGGACACAATGACCAACAAGAAGGGAGACAAAAGGAAACAGGAGGGAGACAAGACGGACACGGTGACCAACAACAAGGAGGACAAGACCAGAGACAAAAAGAAACAGAAGGAAGACAAGGCGGACACAATGACCAACAAGGAGGGAGACAAAAGGCCAAGGCGGACACTCTTAGAAAGCATTTAGAACCCCTATAACCTGTTTGGGGGGAGTAATGAATAGAAATGTTGCATCGCCAGCGGAAAAGGGCGAACACCACCAGTGACAGACCTGGGCGACAAATGAATAGACATGCTAAAAGGGCGGACTCCAGCAGCGACAGACCTGGTGGGAGACAAATGAATAGACATGCTGCATGGCCAACGAAAAGGGCGGACGCCAGCAGCGACAGACCTGGGAGACAAATCAACAGAAACGCTACACGCCAGCGGAAAAGGGCGGACACCGCCAGTGACAGCGGACACCAGCAGCGACAGACCTGGGAGACAAATGCATAGAAATGCCACATGACCATGAATAGAAGTGCTACATGGCGGAAATGGGCGGACACCGCCAGTGACAGACCTGGAGACAAATGAATAGAAATGTTGCATCGGCAGCGGAAAAGGGCGGACACCAGCACAGACCTGGGCGACAAATGAAGAGACATGCTAAAAGGGCGGACACCAGCAGCGACAGACCTGGGAGACAAATGAATAGACATGCTGCATGGCCAACGAAAAGGGCGGACACCAGCTGCGACAGACCTGGGAGACACATGAACAGAAACGCTACACGCCAGCGGAAAAGGGCGGACACCACCAGTGACAGCGGACATCAGCAGCGACAGACCTGGGAGACAAATGCATAGAAATGCTACATGGCCAACGGAAAAGGGCGGACACCAGCAGTGACAGACCATGAATAGAAGTGCTACATGGCGGAAAAGGGCGGACACC